GGTGTAGTTAACTTTACTGTTATGGTTCATATATTCACCATTAAATGTAAGTAATTGCATTCTAAAAGCATATAAATTGCTAAATTTTATATTTCCATTACTTTTGGCAAGGATTGTATAGCCTGAACATTCTTAAGAGACGTTCAGGGTTCGTGTTTCTCGTCATCGACGAAATACGATTGAGAACTGTAAATAATTATCAACAACATCTTTCATCGAAATCAATCATCACCGTTTGAAATTGTGTAACCCTTAACGCTATTCTTCGCGCGCATAAAACGTCCAGCTGAAAGGCTGGGAACACAATCCAGGAAGTCGCGTCGACAAGTTTCAACAGTGATTTCCGGTAAAACCGTTCACGACTTTCTCTGTCGTTGATTGGAAATGTTTGTCTCCTAGCGAATCGAACGACCACCTCGATCGGCCGCGAGAGCTCATATCGCGGATCCGTTGAAAGAAAGAACGCGGGACGTGCCAGGTGAAATCGTGCGAGGAAAACCGAAAGATCGCGGATCGGTTTGGGATTATTTTTCGTGCTATTTCCAGTACGGCACCGCCGAGATCCCCTCGCCGGGAACGCGGCCGTGATCGAACGGCACGTCGTCGTGGTTCGCAATTATGTTCGGCCACGCGGACCTTCACGGATATTGGTTACCCGTTTTCGTTGCAACGAACGGTTACCGCGTTGGCGGCGTTCGCGACCTTCGCGAATCGCCGGGGAAGGGGCCGTTTGAATTATGGAGCCGTTCCAGGCATCGGAAGCGAAACGGGATATTTTCAATTTCGCGGCTGTTCGCTGCTTTGATCAGTGCGGTTTTAACCCCTCCGAAGACGCGGTTCGATCACCGATGAAAATTCCCGGGCTTCGTTTACGAGGAAATGTTCCTCTCCCGCGTTATACCTCTCTTAAGCTAGCAGGACTAAATCAGCAGAATCACATCGGACCTAGTGGAATATTTAGTACTTATTTTGTACTAATTTGTACCACAAATAAAAATTTTGTACCTCCTGCCGTTTTCAAAAAAATCGTGGCGCTGCTAGCTTAATATTAAGCTGGCAGGACCAAAAGTTAAAATTAATGAAAATGAATAAATCAAAGTTGATACTTTAGTGCTGAATTTGTACTAATTTGTACCATCAAAAGAAATTTTGTACCT